TCATATAGCTAGCCATCAACTGTTTTTTGGTGGCTGTATGAAGTGGGTAAAACTGCAGGCCACAAGAAGTATTTGTTATCTACAAAAATATTTTAAAATGTAGATTATACTGGAAAACTATGTGGCCTCTGGTGATTTCTAGGAAAATCCAATCACACTTCTTTAGAATTCTATCACTACAAAACAAATTAGAAAAGACAAAAAGTTGCAAGATTCTTTCTCTCAATACTGTTTTAAGCGAAGCACAATCATAGCAAGTTGAAATTTGGACAGGCGGAGGAAGAAACACTTTTCTCCTCCTTTTAAGTATGTCCGCTCAAATCCTCACATCCCAAGCTGCTTTGAATCCTCTTATGAAGAAAAGAATGTTCTCATTTTTTCCCCCTTTGGGGAAATACTTCAGGCAGACCAAAGGCAAGGAAAGTACCTTTTCTACCTCTCCATCCATGCCTCTTGGAAGTTCTAGATTGCACCGTAATTAAAAATTGAGAACCCTGGTTGCATCCTGAAGCTTGACGTTATGAATCCAGAGTATCCAACATTTGTTATGTGCACACATGGAAAGATGTGGCAGGGTGGGGAAAGGCTCCACCCAATCCTGTACTAGAAAACAACATTACAGCAGACACATAAGTCATCTCTGAGGGCTAGATCAGAAAGTCAGATAAGCTGCAGGCTACAGCTAATTTGAATTCCTATTACGGTATTGTACCCTGAAATTAACACAACTCTCATATCATTGTTGCTATGACTGTAGATGCCAAAGTAAGTTTGATGGGAATGTCTGATTTGAAATATTAAAAAGAAGCGGGTGGCTTTTTCAAAACTTTGATGCACTGCATTAATGAGAGTTTACAGACTCATTCTTTTTCCTACTGAAGCTGAATTCACACCTTCAAGTCACTGACTTGGTAACTGCAGTATCGAGTGATCTGAAACAGCCACCACAGATCAATAATTGCAAACAGATAAATCTGAGACACAATAAGTGAAAGCAGAACAGTGCAAATCATTCCTTCTTTTTTTACTTAGAATTATCTTTTCAATGTTTAAAGAAAGGAAGAAATTCCTTTCCCATTCCTTCCTTCCTTTAAACCCTGATAATGATCAACCAGTAAAGCTGCAGATAGTTGTTGTTGTTTAGTAAGGCGGGATTTTGGGATTCACAGTATTGAATTCATAGACTTTGTTCTGGCTATGCAAATAATATGCTTAGTCATAAGGGAATGAGGTGGCCTTTCTATTTCTGGGGAGCATCACCAGCTACTTTATTCCAACAGTTCAGGAGGAAGATTTTTAATGTAGCTGCCCTGCCCTTTTGTGAACAGTATAACCAATTTGACCTGTGAGGTAAGCAGTTTTTCAAGGTAATTGGCCTGCTAATATCAGCTACACACTCATACATTGTCATGTACAGTCTGCAGTTTGATATAATGTAAGCTTGCTGGCAAAAATGACACATGGACATTTTTAAGGGGAAAAAACCCCCCTGCACTTTCTCAGTAGCGCAAGTGGTTCAAAGTGGTGCAAGCCAAGAAGTGTTAGAAATTTGGCTTAATTAGGAGTCATTAGCATTAACAAAGAGGCAATTACAGTACACCATTTCATTTAGCTTGAGAAGCCCAGCTAATCTAGCATTCTGGTCCCATGTAGCCCAACCAGTTGTTTGTGAGAAGGCATTAAGCAGCATATGAATGCAACTGCTCCCTTCTGCTTATACTCCCTAGCCAATAGTACAGAGAAGCACACTGACAGTAATTTACAGCCATCTTGATTAGTAGCTACTGATAGGGTTACAGAATCTCCTATGACTTTGCCTAGACCTCTTTTCAAGCTGTCCGAATTCATGGCTCTCGCACTTTGTGTTAGTGAATTATATAATTTAACAGTAGACTGTATGAAGAAGCACTTCTTTTGACTGATTATGAATTTTCCACTTTCAGGCTAATTCTAACATTTATGACTCTTTCACCGTACCACGCATAATTGTATGTGTCTTTATGAGATTCCCCTTATTCTTTTCCTCATCCAAAAATGTCTTGTGTTCTGACTTCACTCATTCCAAGTGTGGGTGTACCACAGATTTTTATAAAGGCATTACGATATTGCAGATTTTGAATTTGTCATGATTTCCAGTATCAAAGCAGAGCAAGCACACAGACAGCTTAAGCTTTTATCATATTATCCATAACAACCCCTGTGCTGTATGTACATTATTACTCCTGATGCATACTTTCACATTTGTGGACTCATATAGCTAGCCATCAACTGTTTTTTGGTGGCATACTATTATCTCTAGAAGATCATTAAATTATAATAGCGCATAATCATCTGTAAGTCTGGCAAGCAAAACCTTTAAAACCTAGGCCACAATCTTAAACAAACTTGCCTGGGAGTAACCTAAGTGGGATGTTATGAATTTATTTCTGGTCATATTTATTCTATCATTCTTCTAGGCGCTCAAGGCAGTGCCTTTAACAGACTGCTCATTTTATTTTCACAACAAACCAGTGAAACCGATTGAGCTGATATGTATAGGACTGAACTATATATAACTGCACTGTTAAAGATTTTGAATTGGGACTTTATGGTATTATTTATAATCACTAATGTCAAAATGCCTTTTTTATATACAGTATATGAAAAAGATATTGAGAAGAGGTGTGGAATCTGGCAGATACACTGACAAATCCTATCATTTATATAAGGCATTTCTTGTACTGAAAAGTGCTATGTAAAGAGTAATGAAATTAGTAGATTCTCTATCCCTGTTTAATCTATGGCATCATATTATTGTTTCCATTGATTGTGGAAATAATCAAGCTACAAATGTATTCATCCAAAGAACTATATGCAAAGAACTAAAGTAACGTTTTAGGGATTATGACGACAAGGCACATCCATGCATCAGCTAGACTTTTACTCCAATTTAAAATGTGTAGCTTTAGATTTCAGCTTCTGAAAACCACAGAATGAATGTCCTATACTCCCTACTTCTACAAAGTGTTGCAGTCGTTTAACAGTGTTCCCCCACATACCAGGAAATAAGCTTTCACAAAAAAATTAATTTGTTCTAAAAACCAAAAATCAACATAAATGGTGTACAATGTCATGGAATGGCTATCCATACTGAGACCCAATTTTAAAGGTAAGCTGATAAGCGAGATGTTAACTAAACCCTGGAAAATATACTGAAAATCAACCAACTTCTTTAGCCTAGACCTGAAATCCTGCGCATACTTCTTTGAGACTCACTTCTAAAAAAACATATATAGGACTGAACTGTAAAAAGGTTTGGGATTAGGATGTGGGGAACATACAAAAATAAAATTTAATTCAAGGTACCTGTTTTTGCTGCCCAAACTACATACAACATTTTTTCTGTGCAAAGCTAACCTAGATATAGAGAGAAAAAATCTAAAACAATGCACACTCATGTACAAAATAATTCACAAATGTTTATTTTGCCATTAATAACTGTACTTGCCTTAATTACCTTGTACTTACATTTTTTTTTTATTGCGGACATGTACTTCAAGTTTTTTTAGAATTAAATCTTAAGTTTTGTCAATATGCTAGTTTACATACAAAGCAATAATCATCTCTGGAAATCAAAATATCTTTAAGCAATACATGAAAACGATTACTCCACAGTACTTACTTAATAGAAATGATTTGAAAAGAAGCATCTTAACTGATGGGATAAGAGTCAGAACAAGGGCCACAATAAACTTTTTCACAGGCAACTTTAATACCTACAATTTAAATTGGCTTTTACTTAAAAAGGTCACTGTGTAATAACACCCCCCCCCCATTTTAGTGCCCTCCAGAAACATTGGGATTTCAACTTCCTGGAAGTCCCAATTCAACTGGAGCACACCAGATTGAGGAACTTTAAAGATCTTTAAGATCAAGATAAAAACCTACACAACCTGTAATCGCTGTCTGATGTCCCATTCCCTTTTTCCCTCTTACAGATAGCATTCACTCACAGTACAACACACAGGAAAATGGCTAAGCATAATCTTTTTAGTTTCACAAGTAAAAACTGCCTCTGCAGGTGTTATCAACATTTGACACTTATACTAAAGAGGTGGTTCAAAGTTCATTATGCAAAGAACACAGCTCTACCTGGTATCATCACCTTCTAGTCCCATCCCATCTCAGAACATTACACTGTACATATTTTAAAAGGAATCGGGGTTGAATTCTGAAATACTAGTAATTAATTAGCATGCTCATTACTAAATCTGCTTTTATGATGTCCAGGTATATTTGGTAAATTATTGTAATTTATCAAATATACCTGTGTATGATTTGGGTAGTGGCAGAAATATTTATTTATTTATTTATTTGATTTCAAGCTACCACTGAGAACAATTGTTTTTTTACCTGTGGATGTCCACACTCCATAAAACAGCTTCCTCAACTTATCACCAAAATGCTCCCTGAAGAAGCCAGTCTCCACTGCAGCAGTATTAAATTATGACCTTGTTACCACGTTAGATCATAACTCACACACGTTGCCTCAAAGTTACAACACTAACAGGAACTTGCAGTCTCTAGTGTTTAATGCCCTAGGGAGAAATGACAGTGGGAAACTTACAAAACACTCCTGCAGACTTGGGATATGACACCAAGGCATCATATGTATTTCACAATCTATAATCTGTTGTGGAATGATTATACGTGAAAGCCTATTTACACTCCCTGTTATGATTAGGAAGGCAAAGAGAAAAAGTATGATTTATTTAAATTATCAGCCACTTTGGATTAGCAAGTAAGTGTAACTCCCTGCCCATCACTTGTCTTCATTCATCAGGTCCCATCTTGACTACAGGTGCTTCGAGGTTTCCTACTATCAGAACACCCACAGTGGGCAATTTACCTAGGAAAAGCTAGGGGGGTCTCATAGGGAGTGCAACAAGCCCTATGAAATTACTTCAGCAAACCCAGAAGGCACCTATTAATGCCCATTCCTACCCACTGTGTATTATCAGGAACTCAGATGTAACCCCAGTGACTATCAACTTCTCCTTCCTCAAGATATATTACTCAGGCCTGATGCAAAGCAGACTGCACAATCATGCCTAAAGGGGCCAGGAAAAGTTTATCCCCTTTTTCCTAAAGACTTTCAAGCCAATATACATTAAAAAATCTGTATATCACAAAAACCCTTTGCAACCCGTGTCTGCATTCAGGCCTACTGGATTCCTTTCACCTGGGCAGAATTTTCCTCTTCTAGGGTCCAACTCCCCTGACTGACATATCCATTAACTATGAGTTAATAAGTTGTTGCGCGTGTGCTCACGCGGGCATGGATTTCGCACAGACGCCTTTCCTTCTCCTCTCCCCACCGGCCCCGGAGTGTAAGTCCTGTCTTTCCACAGATTTCGCGTAGGGTGACCCCATCCGACAAGATTTCAGCTTCTTCTCCCGATCACTCTCTCTCACAGCCCCCACTCTGGAGAGGAACCTTAGGAGGAAACCCAGCGCCCTCGACTCCGCTAGGGAAGGAGACCTGCTCTTGCCTAGCGTGGCCCCAGCGGTCCGCCCCCCGAAACAAAGTTTCTTCTGCCCTTTTGCGGCTCCGGCTCCGCTGCCCGATCTCTCTCCGCTCCCAGCGCACCCCCCGCAGCCTCCCCGCTCCCGCTGGACCCAGACACGTGCCTCCGCGGACCGAGTTCGCTGAACGCCTCCTAGAGTTGCA